ATAACTTTTTTCTTTAAGACGATTGAACACTAGATTGCCAAATGTATCCAGAGTATCAGTGATCAAAATAAACTTGCTGGGGTAAAACTGCATTACATTAATATCAGACAACAGTTTTGAACACTGTATGCCTATTTTAAACGCTTTCACCCTTTGCTCTGTCTCCCAAGCCTGTAACACAGTTAATAATAACATACTTAGTATGAAATTATATCTTCAATGTCAATAGAAAACTGATAATAGTTTTAATTTAATTTCATAATTTGTTATTTGTTGTTACTTTTAAAATTTAATTTCATAATTTCAAAAAAAAATAATTTAAGTATAGTTAATATCACAATATTTACTATACTTATTTATTATAGAAAGTTACCTTTTTAATTTCATCATTAAGCAAGTTTATTTTTGTCACAAATTCTTGTTGACTCAATCCCATTGTCTTTCTAACTGACCCTTCATCAAAGTCATCTAATTGTTCCAGCCTGTGTTTTACCTTTTCATTCAAATTGGATACCTGTCTTATAAGAGCTGAAAAGGAACTAACTTAAAATAGAACAAAAAGAAAACAAAAAGTAAACAAAAAATAAGATAAGAATGAGTATGTTTTGTTAAGTAATAAATAAAAAAAGCATACATTTCATATGACACATACTTTTTTCTCCACCTGGTAAATAACTGCTAACAATTGTAAGCTTTTCACCAGTTGTGTATTTATTCAGAATGCCAGTTCGCCTTGAATTCCAAGCTTTAGTGTAATTGACCCCTTCAATGTTTTCTGCCTCCAAAGGAATTATATCCTAAACATTGTCACATAAAATGTATTGAATAATTATAGAACTCAATTAGTAAACCAGAAAATCCTTTAAAATGGGTCTACTTACTTCCTCTGCATTCATTTGTTCAAATCTTAACAATGGGTCGACTTCTTCAAAACCAGAACTCCATTTATTTAGATGGTCTATAAGGGTGGAGCTAGATGGTTCCTTCTGTAAATTAAAACATATGTAAACAGTCATGAGACAACATATGTAAAAATCAATACATACGTAACTATTTAAGTGCAAGATCCATCTCAAAATAATATTGAATAATATACAAACATCTTTTTAATTTATACAAATACTTACAATGGTAATTACATTTGTTTTCAGAGGGTAGCTGGTCACTACAAAACTAGGAGAATCCTGTTTGAATCTCTTTAATTTCTTCAATGATGTCCTGAAATAATTAAGTAGAAATTTTTTATATAATTTTTGATGACGACACAGATTATTTTGGGTGCCTGCTGCTACATTTATCATAATTCATTGAAATTATATTATAAAGCATTTGTTGGGGGAGTGTTCTTAGGGGCGGATTATTTAAAACATTATAAAGGTGTTACAAAATTAGAAACAATCACTATAAAAATTCTGTGTATTTGTTAAAAATAATAATAACCATTCGTAATAAACAGGCATAGTTGCGACTTCGATCAAATGAGATAACTAAACTATTTAGTATTATTTCTGTAATGAAAAACTTGAAGAATTCTGTAAACAACACAACGTTATCTTTTTTTTTCAACAAAAGTCAATCAGCAATTTTTCTTGTCTTTGTTATTTGTCAAAAAGTTGGCATGTTGATTTGATACCCATAGCTCTTTGGATTGACATGTTAATTAGGGATGTAACATACTTTTATATTGTTCTAGAATCTATGGTTTCGCAATCAAATCAAAAACAAAGTTGGATACAGTATAAAAGTTGTAAATATTTATGTATTTATACTTAAATATCCAATATCAAATAACTCCGTCCGAAAGATAATATTAAATTCGAGTGTGCATAAGTTTATTTTCATTTTTTACATACTAATAATTCATTTATTCAGATAAAAAACTTAAATTAAAAACTAACAATTACTTAAAAAAATTAAAACTAAATATTACTAAATTAAATACCTATATACAACTAAAGATTAAAATTAATTATAAGAAAAAACAAAAACAACTATTTACATAAAGCGTCGAAAAATTCGTCCGCATCGACGTCAGTGGGGAAAGTACCCAGAAGGCTGGCAGCATTGCCAAGTTGTATGGCAATGCTTAACCTCTGACTGAGAAAAAGACCAGCCCTCTGGTCACGAGATGTGTCAACCAGGTATTTTGAAATGTCTTTGAATAATTTAAGTGCACTCGGACCCCACGAACCTAGCGTCTCAACCCCAAACGGCTCAAAGATATAACTACCAGCAAGGTTGTTATACTTGCGCCGCTTGAGGCTTTCTGCAGAGGCAGCAGCCGAACCAGCACAACCCGCCGTTACTGGAAGATGAGAAGGTGCAAGGGTGTCGGCGCAGGTTGCGTCCCACACCAAAAACATGCCCAGCTTCCAGGGCATAATGGACATACCGTCGGGTCTCTTACCATCGTCGCGTGCCAAACCCTTTGGTTCCAGAACAGCTGGCACACCGGCGATGATAAGAGCTCGACGGATAATGTCGTTAATGCTGGCGTGTCGAGCTATCGGGCTCGCGCTTCTGCTACACGATAGGCCGTGGTGGCCGAGGTGATCGACCATCTCACCGCATTGACATCGATGCGGAGAATCACAGGGTGCACCTACACGCAAGCAAGCAGCAAGCCGAAAAGTTGAGTCATTCAACATCGTGCCAATATTGAGTGACGGAAGTGCCTGAAGCTAGAGGCCTGATTCCCACTCACCCACAGCCAATAGGCGAGCTAACTCCGCAGGATTGGTGCTGGTATTAATTAGATTATTATGCACCAACCTGCAAAGCGGCTCGTCCCATTGTCTCTGGGAGGAAGGGTTGACAGGCAAGGTTGTATTGGGACATGTTTCTGTCCAGACCAAAGAGTATAATAAGTATAGGGGTAGTCCAGACGTTCATCGCGTCGGTCAGACACGGCACATCGGGTTCAGCGTCAACACCAGCTAAAATTTTTTTTGTTAAAGTTCTAGTTCTGTGGACAGAAGAGATGAACGCCGGTAAACTTACACTGGAAATTTTGCGGACGCCTAGACCACCAAAACGAATTGGTAGTGCGGCTTGAAGCCAAACACGATCGTCCATAGAAGCATTCAAAAGTGAAGTTAAGGTGTCACGGATAATTTGATCAATTTGGTCCAGAATATGCGGATGCTTCCACAGAGGGGAAGCACGCAGAAAATACATAAATTTTGGGCCGAAATAACAATAGCGAATTAAAGTAAAGGCACAATGTAGATTAATTTTGGAAAGTCTATCGGAAATGTCATAGAAATTTTTAATTTTCTCGTTTATGAAATCAGATAAACTGTTTTCGAAAATTGGGAAACCCAGGAGAAGAAGAGTTTTTATCAACAATTTTTAAATTCGGCGCTACGGTAGAAAAAGTGTTTAAAATTTGTTGACTATCAATAATTTTGTCCGGAAGGTAAATTTCGCATTTAGAAATATTTAATTCTAATCCGGTGGATTTAAATTTAGAAATCAAAAGCTGTAAGTCATGGAAAACAGTGTCTGCGACACCTCCTAGGGTTCCATCGTCCAAATACCAAACATTAAATGTAGATTTAAGTTGCCGAATAATAGGGTGAATGGCCAGACTGAAAATGACTGGACCAAGAGGATCACCTTGTTGGCAGCCTACAGCAGAATCCAAAACTTTGTCTTTATATAATAATTTTGAAGGTTGTCTATAGCACTGCCAAATAAAACTGTAAATTTCAGGTAATTCTTTTTTAACTTCAGCCAACAAAGTGTCCCTGTTGATGTAATTGAATGCATTTTTTACATCAACCTTAAGGATGACCTCACTTTCGTTTGCATTCAAGAAAGATGATAGGGCGTGTACGGCAGCCTCACAACCCCCTTTTGAGCCGAAGCCTAGTTGGAGGGGTTGAAAGTGCGACATGAGCGCATCTTTATGATAACTGCAATACAACTTGGCTGCCGTACGCCTGTAAGTACATCCTACGGCAATGGGACGTATGCCGCCATCTTTCTTGCGTAGGGCACATAGATTGGCCCCGTACAAAATGTCGATAATGGCATCCGTCACATTACCGGAGAGCATTAAATTAACCAGAACTGTTAGCTCCTTCAGAAGAGACTCACCGGCTTCCCCGACGTCTGGCCCCGTCAAACCCTTAAGATGTTGAGGAGTCAGACCACCAGCAGAGCCACTGCGGAAGGAGCCAACGGCTGCAGCTGTTGCGGTGAAAATATAGATATCAGGTTCAGGAGGATCGGGAAAAGTGAGGTCAGCCCTAGCAGGCGGGTGTTTACTCTTCAGAGCTTCAAAAGTTTCTGAAGAGTAGGGAGCAACCACGTCACTACTGAATAAAAGCCTGGCGGCTCCAGTTATATCACCTTCACCTAATTCGGATTATACGTAGTCAAAACGAGTTTTTTTAATATTATTAAAGGAGTTAGGAAATTTTGGATCTAAAATGGGGTTCAAAATACTGCAATTACTTTTAATTTGTGAGATTAAGTTTTTTTTAACAGCCAAATTTTTTATCACGTGTAGGGGAAGGTGAGTAACTGCTCCCAAGCCGAGAAAGAGTTCTCTCGAGTTGCAAGACGAATGCAATTTCCTAAATTAAGAGCAACGGACCGTCTTGCACCACGAGTGTGCTTTGGATGGTTTTTTAGTTCCTTTCCGTTTTTTTTTAATCGTGATCAGTTGTCAAATGTCGTTTTAATTAATGTCTAATACAAATGTCAATGTCAATGGTCTATCAGAAGTTGCTCGACATGGACCATGGTCAACAAACCTAATCAAAGTCAAATTAAAACTATGGCCTTGGTGTTTTAGAATTAGCTATAGTGTAGTTTAGTTTAGTTTTGAGTGGAAGCGTTTTGTACTTTCATCAAATTTATTTATAGGTTGCTATATTGGCATTCTACCAGGAAATTTCGCAGCAAAGCGACATTTCCTTATTCCTCTTCTTAGGGTTATGGAATTATGAACTTATATAAGAGTAATTTCTTGTTGTACTATCTAATTAAATATGGGTGCATACAGCAAATTTATCAATGCTTTCAAGAAATATCCCCTTTTAAGGGGAATGGCATCTTATAGCATCATTTGGCCAGGTTCTAGTTTAATACAACAAACCTTTGAAGGAAAGTCTATTGGTGAGTGCACTAATAATTTTAACTTTAAACCTTAGGTAAGATTTTATTTAGTGTTTTAATGAAGTTGAATTAGGGTATATGTTTCATTGAAGAAGATTAGCCCCATGAATTTCAATTTTTCAATTCACAAATCTTTTTTATTTAAATTTCAGATAACTATGACTGGTGGAGATGTGCTAGATATGGTCTCTATGGGTCTTGTTATGTCGCCCCTACATTGTATAGTTGGCTGACAATTGCTAACATAATGTGGCCTGGAAGTTCTATAAGAGCAGGTATTATTAAGGTAAATTAAACACCAGTATAGTACTCCTAATTAATTATTGAACAGTGATGCAAGAGTATTAGTATATGGTGTTATTTGTTACCTACACAATGTTTTTTTTATTAATTTGTTGGGCTGATGTTTGACCACTAACATTTTCGTTTATGTAATAACATAATTAATTTGTTATAAGTAATTACCTATTGTTTTTAATAGTAATTACCTTTACTTAAACTTGTTAAATACTTTGAACACTGGATATCCATACTTATCTAACATAATAAAGATACTTATGTTTGTCAAAGATTTCTTAGAAATAAGGTTTCTATTTGTAGGTACTTGGTTTTAAATACATATATTTTTATATATGAGTGTATAGTGTCAATTATCAATATTGTAGACACTTACAGTGGGCTTTCAATTATTTTATTGTATTTTGATGTTTTCAGACCTTTGTGGAGACTATAACATACACACCATTTGCAATGTGCAGCTTTTATTTTGGTATGAGCTTACTTGAATCAAAGCCCTTCAATGAAGCTATTGCTGAAGTTGAAGCCAAATTTCTGCCTACATACAAGGTATGTTTTATAGATAGCTTTTTTAAATGCCCTATGTAGATAACTCTTATTTAGCAGATACATGGATCCTTCTAATTATGTACCCAGATGCTATTCTAAACTATTGTGATGGCTGATTTAAATGACAATTACCATTGTAGTAAAATATGGGACCATCAAGATATCACCATAATATAAGATAATTAAAATACTCTGTACATAACTACTTTATACATTTATTGTTTATGTTTTCAGGTAGGAGCCTCTGTGTGGCCAGCTATTGCTATGATTAATTTCTGCCTCATTCCTCCAAGAAATAGAGTGCCTTTTATTAGTCTGTGTAGCCTTGTATGGACATGCTTCCTTGCATATATGAAACACTTAGAAAAAGAGAAAGTTGCTGCAACACCCATGAAATTACTAAAAGTAAATTTATGAGAGCACAATGACTTAACAATTTTTTAGCTGAATTTGATGTTATTTTATGTAACATGATTAGATTGTGTTATTATTTAGTTTAGGTCAATTGTTATTTATTCCATCTCAAATATGTGTGATATTTAAATAATTTATAGTTACTCTTACAATGATCTTGATTATTATTTATTTCTGTGTTAATATTTATATGAACAGTATTTAAAATGTAGGATATTAATAAATAAATACATATTGTATTGAATTTTAGAGTAGTTGGGTTTATTTTTATTATTTTTATTTTATAGTTATAAAGTACCTAATTGCCAAATTGGTAAAACTAAATCTCAATCATTGATAACCCAATTATTCTAATGATTACATTTTCTTATATTTTAAGTGTAGTATTCGTTTCTGCATATTTTCATTCAAGGAAACCATGTAAGAGACCACAAAACAGGGTGATAATAATACATTTCAAATACAAGGTTCCAACATGAAAATTATATAGATTAAGTAAATAAAAACATGAATGTGTTGACAATAATATGTTTAATGTTGTTTTTTGTGAAACCTAGTAGTCTAATACCCATTTCAATATCTAGTGAAGGTTACAGTCCGTAAATTACAAATGCGTGACTCACATTTACAAGTAGGTAACAAGCGACATATACTTATACTATTTGCAAACGACATGTGCATGTTGACATACCATAATAAAACAATACCACCCTAAATGAAAAGTGCTGCCAATTTTCTAAAATATACTAGAATTTGGCAGACGGATCAGTTACTGTGAGTTTTTTGTATTTACATATAATTTAACTTTCTGAATTCTAAGAATTTAAGAGTATTTTAAGTTACAAACACATTGGGGATAGGGCCAGAGAGTATTAAACTTACATAGTTAGCGTAAGACGTCGTTGATGCTACTTAGGCTAAGGCATTGATGATGCTACTTAGGGTAAGACGTCGAAGATACTACTTAGCGTTAGACGTCGATGATGCTACTTAGGTTAAGACGTCGATGATGGTACTCAGGGTAAGACGTCGATGATGCTACTTAGGGTAAGACGTCGAAGATGCCACTTAGGATAAGAAATGGATGCTACTATTTTAAACTGATAAATAGATTTTTGTTTTGTAATATCATTAATTACTTCTGTCTGTATTATACAATTCCAAATTATACGCGCAATTACAAGCTGAAATCGCTGACCTCTGTTTATGTTGTTTCAAGGTAAGGCAGACATTTGTCAATAACACTTGAAAACGGGCCTTCAGGTCCGTGATATTGATATAATACTATAATAAAAGGAATGTTATTAGTTTTATTATTGTTAGACTAAAATTAACTTCCTTAGGTCTTTGCTAAATCTACTTCCCAAAATACTTCCTGTTGGTGTTAGGATTTGATTATCCCAAATAGGTATTTAAGAAAACGCCGTTATTTTTCTATCAACAAAGTAAAATAATAATTTAGATTTTTGCAATTCCCGCCATTCGGAAGCGGAAATGTGTCGCAATCGCACTGCAATACAGCAGCTGTAGCCAAATGCCATTTAGCGCTTGTCTTCATGTAGAAAAACCAAAATAAAAGGAATTGACGAAAATTTTGACATTTGTCAGTGTCATCCCCATAAATTTTGATTTCCTACTCTCTCTGTAAATAAGCGCTAAAGTGGCTTTTGGATGAAGGCACTTATTAGACACTAGAACATCAATAAAATACATTGCAAACAATGTTTGAATAAGAGCAAGACTAAAAGTGGAAATTATGAATAATACCATTATTCCCATTGTCATAATTAACTCTTGGTTTCATTATTGTAGTGGATGTTCTAAGAATATCAGTGTCCCCAATTTTAATTACTTTTTTTTTTTTTTTTTTTTTCTCTCTTTGGCAAACGAGTCTCCAAAGTGATCTTGTCGACTATACTGCCAGTGTCCAGTGATGATTTAATTACTTAACACTGCATTTGGTTCCACCTCTATTCCTGAGCTGTCATGTTACTGTCATGTTTTATTTTTTTTGTCACTTGTCAGCTGCTTGCGAGAGTTGAATTGGAGTTGAATGAATAAGAAAGAAATTGCATTCGCCGAGTCGGAAAAGTGGTTCAGTGTAATCGTATGTGGGTGCTTACTAAAATTACACTGTTCAGTGTTTAGAAATAGGTGAGTCTGAGTGATATTTACTGCAATGTTGCAGCGAGATGGTTTTGAAAACATAAGTACTAAGTTTTGAACGCCTATATTGGCATAATAATTCAAAGACTTGACCAAATAATGATACATAAATAAACAACAGCTTGCAATAATTTTGCTATGCTTGTATGAAGTAAGAATTTAAAATGTCTAGTAATTCTTTGCTGTTTTCCATTAATAATGAAGGCAAAGTTTACGCCTTGTCAACAAGTGGATCATGTTGGAGAGAATTCATGTATCTTGGCTTAGAATTCAAAACATTATCTGCTGTACCACATTATCTTTGGGCTGTTGGTGGTGATCGACAAATCTATCTCCACGTTCACGGCCTAGAAATACCTATAAGAGTTAGAGAAGAATCTTACGAGAATGAAAGGTGGTTACCACTAGAAGGCTTCAGTGGAAGATTGTTGCCCACAGACAGATATCATTTTTCTTCTCAAGATGGTACAAAAGACCGATCAATTGATCGCATTCGACTACCATCCATGGCCTGGCAGTGGGAGGGTGATTGGCAACTCGAATTGACATTAGATGGTCAACCCTTAGATCATGATGGATGGACATATGCAGTGGACTTCCCAGCTCAATTTGGCCCCTCAAAACAGTGGAAGTCTTGTGTAAGGAGAAGAAAGTGGATAAGGTACAGAAAATTCAGTGCTATGAATTCATGGTGTGCTATTGCTCCTTTGCATAAAGATCCAACACAAGAGCCTTTCATAGACGTAAGCATTGGGGGCAATCAAATACCATATGCATCTCCTGGAACATTATCAGTTTGGGCCATAACTGCTCATGGACGTGTTATGTACAGAGCTGGTGTCAGTACTACATCTCCTGAAGGTTTGAAATGGATTAACATAAGTATACCTCCTAATTGTGATATTAAACAAATATCTGTTGGACCCACTGGATTGGTGTGGGCACTATTGTGGACAGGAAGAGCGATTATTAGGAAAGGCATAACCAAAGACTGTCCTACGGGAGAGGCATGGATGGAAGTCAAATCTCCTAATGATACAAAATTGGTGTCACTTTCTGTTGGATTTAATGCCATTTGGGCTGTGAGTTCAGATACAAGAGTCTGGTTTAGAAAAGGTATAGATGGGAATTCAGCTGGTACCTCTGAAGGAGCTGCAATGGGAAGTGGTTGGCTAGATATATCAGGACATATGAGCTATATTTCTGTTGGTATCAATGATCAAGTATTTGCTATAGGTGACTCTGACAAAAGTATTTACTGGCGTAGTGGTATAACTCCTGCTGAGCAGACTGGGAAAAGATGGCGAATGGTGCAGGCTAATATGCAACTAAGTAGGACATCAAGCTCAGCAAGTGTGGTGTCTTCAGCTTCAAATGCCAAACATCATAGTTTAAATATGCTAAATGAATCTACAACTGAGCTCAAGTCTAACATCAATCTCCATAATTCATGGGAAGAATCACACTCTGCACCTATTGAACACACATTACCCATTAAACCTAAAGAAGCTCGCCAAAAACGAAATGAGCAAGTAGACAATATTGATTACACAGGGAAAAGCTATGAAACCACTTTAAAAAATCCAAGAGCATGGAGTCCTGTGAGAAGTGTGGGCTCTGTTGTAGGAATGGAAGCTCAACCAGACAGTGACAGCAGTGTGTTTGATGTTGATTCAGGAATGTTTTTTGATGATGAAATTAGCCAAACAGCCTGGGGGACTTGTGAAACTACCTGGGCATTTGTGGAAGCTGGGGCTTGTTCCGTAGATGTAATGCAAGTACCACATTGGTTTACAGACTCACATAGTGCATTTAATTTGGATCTCACTTCTAAGTGGAGAATCCAAATTTTGGATAATCTCAAAATCAGGAATAATAATGTAACTGTAGACCTATCTAATTATGGTGTAGCAGTAGAAGAAAAAGGCTGGACACGGAGCTGTGAGTCAAGATTGATAAATGCTAATAATTCTAGTGAAGATTGTATATTGTCTTTATATTGGCATGATTTAGAAAACATAGGAACTCTATCTGTTTTCCAACCAGATGGTACAATAAAGTTCATCCTAAATCTAGGTGAAGTTACTAGTGTAATAACATCATCAGAACCTGGAAGTCCCAGAATAACATTGTCTGTTCCACGCCAACACAAGAGCCCTATCAAAGTGCAATTTATATCAGAAATGGAGCAAGAAGAATGGTTTAATGTTTTAGTTGATATTACTTCTCAAATTAATGGAGTTACTGGCAAGCCATCCCATAACTCAGTATGGGCAATTGCTAGTTCTGGTGATGTACTGAATTGGGATCCAATGCCTGCAAAACTAAACATTTCAAATAATGGACAATATATCAAGGAATTCCAAGTCTTTGGAAAAGATATAGTGTCTGGTTTCACAACAGCTTTGCACAATAATTTTCCGCCTGGAAGTACAATAAAAGTTTCAGGTTGTTTACATGATGAAATAAACAGATTTCATATTAATTTAGAAGGACCAGAAGTGAAGAAACAGAGACATAAAATTGAAACTGAAGTCACTGAAATTCCATTACATTTTAATGTAAGGTTTGATGAAAGAACTGTTGTTTGTAATACAAAAATCTCTGGTAGTTGGGGAATGGAAGAGCGACATGAACTGCCATTGTCTCCAGGACAGGAATTCTGCGTAACAATAATTTGTGATGTAAATGTTTTTAAGATACTCGTAAATGATAAACTGTACTGTTACTATGAACATAGGCTCAACCCTAAAAATATAACAGCAGTTTCCATAAAAGGTCCCTTAAAACTTTTTTCTTTGGAATATTCCACTACAAATGCTATAATTGGATCTGAAGAAATGTACTGGAGAATCATTGGAGGATATTTGCGACGTGTGGAGTCTTGTCAAACAGGTATTGTTTGGGGGATATCTCATGACCACAGAGTCTGGGTTTATACAGGAGGATGGGGAGGAGGGATACTTAAAGGTAAATGAAGAAAACTTTCATTCACTAAGATTCTTATAATTTTCTTTGTACGATATGAAATAAATATCTTTATAATTTTAGGTATAGGTAGCAAAGAAGGAATTCACTCAATGACTGATACACAAACTTACTGTGTATATGAAAATCAGAGGTGGAATCCTCTTTCTGGGTATACGTCTACAGGCTTACCAACCGATCGTTACATGTGGAGTGACGTAACTGGAAAACATAAAAGAACTCGAGAACACACGAAACTTCTGAATCGTCATTGGCATTGGGTAACATACGATTAGTATTATTAGTAGAATTATTTATCCTAACATTAAAATAATGCACTTCTTTCTTCTGTCTCTAGGTATCTGAATGGATGATTGACTATAACACTCCCGGAGGTGTCGATTCCGACGGATGGCAGTACGCAACCGATTTCCCGGCACCATATCACGGGAAAAAAATATTTACTGATTGCGTTCGACGTCGAAGATGGTATAGAAAAGCACAAATTATTACCGAAGGCCCATGGGTTAGAGCGGGTAGTACTGCATTATTGGATATTTCCCTATGGGTAAGTACAACGGCTTTAAAAAAAATTACATTTATTATAATTATTAAGTACCTACTTAAGTACATACCTAGCATAATCTAAGTATTGACTTCAATCTTAACTGGGTTATGTAAACAATTCTCGACAGGCCAATAGTGATGACGAGATAGCGGTTTGGGCAATCACTTTGGCTGGCGATGCCATATACCGGACAGGAGTTACAGTTTCATCACCAACGGTAACTAACTATGCGATTGTTGTACCCATATAAAACACTTTTTTCTTACTAAAAGAGGAAAGAACGTTAAATCGTTTTGAAACTTGTACGTTATTTGTTTGTTGTAATATTTTAGGGTACTCATTGGGAACACGTTAACAACCCACAATCGCTTATAGCAATAAGCACATGCAATAACATAGTTTGGGTTGTTGGCCGAAAAGGAGAACTTTATTACAGAGAAGACATATCCAAAGAGCATCCATCTGGACACAGCTGGAAATTGATTGAAGCCCCTAAATGTAGTCATTCCTATAACCACAAGTCTGGCGCGGGAGCTAAGGCAGTTTCGTTAACCAAAACATCAGCGTGGGTGTTACTCTTAAATGGAACTATAGCCGTGAGGACCGGCCTTTCTAGTAAACAACAGGATGGTAAAGAATGGAAATATTTAACAGGTAAATAAATAACCTATCTTAATTTATTGATATTACACACCCGAAAAACCCAATATTACCATTACCTTGCCAACCGAAGAGCGAATTCAGAACTCAAAAGGAAAATACAAAGATAGGTACCTACTTATATTAATTATGAATGTTTATTCATAAGTTGTTGCGCTGTATCAATACTATGTCTATTTAATATGACCAATCATAGTTCTTATACGCCATCTTTAATGAATCACCAATATTAGTCAGAATTACAAAAACAAAGTACATAATATGGATGTATAATAATTATAAATTTACAACCCACGTTTTGTTTCCAGATTGTGATATGACTTTCAAACATGTTTCTGCTGAGGATAACGAGGTATGGGCGGTTACTACAGACGGTGTACTTCAAAGACGACTCGGTATATCAGCAGACAACGTCACCGGCTCAGCTTGGCAACACATTTTATCAGCAAACCTCGTACATGTTTCGGCCAGGGGAGGTTATTTAAAATGAAAATATTTACCGTCTCTCGTCTAGATTACTCTTATATATATTTAAGTCGTATGAATTTCTTTCTCAGAACTCGGTTACAATTTATTCATTATAGGCTTGTCTAACAGCAATCGTAGAGATGTGAATATGGATTCTAAGTTTCTCATTCTTACCAAAAGACTTAGGAAATTGATATTATTATAAAGACACGCTTTCGAAGACCTATAATAATGAGCAAGTTAATTGTCATCCACTCTTTTATCCAGTAGATTAATGCAGTACTTATAAGTAATATTATGTGACATAACACTTTAAAATCCGTTCACAACATCTTAGGAAGCGTATTTGCTTTCCGATTGCCTGTCAAATATACCTGGTGGCTGGTGGGTGCCTAAGCATTGAATTTATACAGTAATCAGCTTTTGTTGAAAAACTTGTACAAAAATTAAATTTCAATAGGTACTGTTTCGCGATTTTTTTATTTAATATATTCATTTATTCAAATAAAAAACTAACTATTACTTAATAAAAATTAAAACTAAATATTACTAAATTAATTAGTTTCGCTATTTATATTTTAATCTACCATTGCCGACGAGATACGCCATCCGGAGCCTGAGGGCAATGCACCGTAAGCGTGTCCTTGCGCGTCTCTTCCCTCTTCTATCAGGTCACTTAATTGTATAAAACAAAGGCCCTTTATCGATCTAAGTACTGTAATATTATTACTTGTGCGCATGAGGCTTAGGTACCGTCCAAACCCTCAACGATATCAAAGTAATCAGTATGATTTACCAATAGCAAGCAAGCCAGTATTCTTAATATATAATCCCTGTGCTCATAATGCACGGTAATTAAATTTGTTTATTAGAAATATAGCTACCCAATTGTATTTGATTACCTTCACATCGATCTGAGCAGCTAAACTAAATAATGTCTTACAATGTGAGAGAAAAGCCTCACATTTGTATGTTGATGGTCGAAGTATCAACTAAAAGTCATGCAAATACGATCTGTGGGAACATTAATATTTATTGATATAATTAGTACATTTCATTTTTATTGTTTGTTTCACATACTTGTGTAACTAAATATCGTTCTCCTATAAAACAGCCTCGAAATCGACCTAGTGATATTTATTTTTCTAGATTAGCTAAAATTAATCGTTATTAATAAAATTTATACACATGTAATCTTGAAACATGTATTGCTTCTTCGTGAGTACTTCCAAGTATTAGTAGCACTTAGTTGATAAGAATAAGGCAGAAACCAGTAGACCCACAGTTATGACTGTGATGTTTGGCTTTTGTATCATCCTAACGAAACGTCGGCGTCCAATCGGCATATGCCGCATACCTTTATCTATTTTATAGTTAATTTACCTCTTACATTACATTTACTCTTATAACAACTTAAATTTTATTTGTCATTTATCATTTACATTTTTGATAAACTTGCCAAATCTATTAATTTATATTCAACAACTTGGTAAAATCAATCAGTGTTTGGGTTCGATCGTCATTTGGTTAGGTTATCTCAATGTTTCGGTGCATTTTTCTATTTGTGATTTTTCGATTTCCATTATTATGATTTTATATCATATAATTGTGATTTTATTGTATAATTTTAGACTGAGGCTACATTTATGTTTTAAATGTTAGAAACATTCCTACTTAGTAAACTCATTTATTTAAATTTTTACTCTAAGTAATAGGATAAGTAATAAGATATTGTTTTCTAGTCATTGGTGTTTATTGTATTAAACTTATGTTAACTAAATCGAATATACCAAAAATGAAGCTTGCGCTAAAGAAAGGTACATACTTAAAATTGAATAAAACAGCTACCATATTATAATGCCTTTTTAATAACCCAAAAACGGTTTAATTTAATGCATGAAGTTACATCTTAATCAAAAGCCATAGGTACTTATTTTGTAAAAATCAAATTCTTGTCAAATTGCAAATATGAAGTTGCATTATACATATTTTATTGGCTCTTGTTTCTACAATTAAAGAAAATTGTTTATATTACTAGTAAACGAATTTGCACGACATTAATATTTATTTAGAGCAAATAATCTAGTTCATATCTCAAATAGTGATTATTTGGATCATTTTGTATTCTTGGGTATCCAGCTACTAATGCATCTTGTCCTCCAATATAAAGAGTGTTGTATATTTTCCAGTACACATCGCGAACTTTTCTTGCAGGATGGAACAGTCCCTGAAACAAACAATATGTATCATGACTATCAAAATAATTTGCCCCTTAGAAGATTACATTATTTTGTATTTTATACCTAACATGAAGATGGTATGGCATTAGTGGCAAAGCTTGTTCAAGGCAGATTGGCTATTTTATATTTCTATTTAGAAATTGCAGGTTTCCTCATGATGTTTAATTTTTTACAATCATCTTATACAAGAATTTAAATGGGACAAATGAGACTACATGATTTATGTAACCCTTAAGCAATTTTACAAATAAGTACATACCTGTAGGGCATACTGTAAGATTTTGACAGGACCTAGAGCAACCCGCATGCCTTCCACAGCATCCATGAATGCTTGTACTAAATGTGGTGAAGTCTCAAAGATGTTTGGCCACACATGGTTGAGCAGGTGTACTAAAGCATCTTCGCAGCCGAATCCATATACTCCCAGAGCCATATGCTTTATTGCAGCACAAGCAGTCTGCCGATGCACCAAATCCCTGTTAAAAATAGCACAACATTAATAAGTTTTTATTTTATTTTATAATGTGTTATAAACTACAATATAAGCTCACATACAACATGTCTGACAAAATCTGTCAACGGTCATCACATACCTGTCCATCAGAGCATCTTCTAGCAAGGGACAAACTGCATAAATGTAGTCTTTTCCCATTTCTCCAATGTACTCAAACAAGAAAGACAGTGATTTCAAAACTCCATTTTGTACATTTAATTCTGGTACACGGTATTCATTCATCAGCGCTGGCAACACCGTGAAGGGAGAGCAAGTTTCCGCAACTATAGCAATAGCCACTGTTGTACATACTCTAAAAGAGAAAAATAATATATATTAGCAATGTAAATATCTACATTTTTTATGTAGGTACGAAGAAAGAAACACTACCTGTTCTGTCTCTCCTGTACTTTCAAGTTGTTGAGCAAGGTTGCCAACACATCATGAGGACCAATTGCTTTGGCAATATAACCAAAAGTATTTACAGTTGCTCGTCTGATAGCTTTTTTGTGAGCCTTAAGCAGCTCTAGCAATTCAAAGCATATCCTCATCCATTCCCTCGCAGAGACGAATTCTGGTCCTCTATCAGCAATACGTCCAACCAAATCAATACAATTTTCTTGAACTTTTTCGTGTCTAAAAAAAGAAATAATACAGTTGTTTAAATCAAAATAAAATAAAACAAAATACTAAGTATTTAAACATTAACTTATATAGATTAATGCAACTTACCTGTTTTTGAGAATAGGTGTTAATCTAGGTAGGAGATCTTTGATGGGAGGTGTCATTTTTGTCATACCAATCACATTAACGATAGCTTTCAGAGCACCCAATATCGAACCCAGTACTTCTGGATACTCTTCACCCAAGTATTCATAAAGTACGACGCCAAGATGTCCCATTAGTTTTTCCTGTGCAAAACATTGATACGTTATTAAACAGTCATGTTATGAATCTTTATATTTTTATTTTAAAGAAAAGAATGGGTGGCTTACCTCCTGACAAGTTTTCATGACGACAGCAATGCGTGAAATTAGATCAGCAGCTTGTTGTCGAACTTTCGCAGATTTATTGTTCATACGCCATAATATAATACCACAGATCTGTGGTAAGTACGGTTTCACGCGCTTGCCCAGTTGGTTTACTATTGTACCGAAACCGTTCAACATTACAACATCCTGTAATAATTAATCATTTAGGATTAGTTTATAAATTTTATTGTAAAAAATAATATTTGTCAACCTTTTCGGACTCTTTTAACAAGTCTTACCTCAGTAGTCTGTTCTTGGAATGCGTACAATATACCATCAATAAGAGCCTCTTCCAGTTTGGAATCAATGTCAGCTGCGCCTAAATTGGCGAGAATCTTTTCTATAGATTCCATTACCATCTTTCTGTATTGCTCATTATCGTCCTTTAGGTCATCGACTATTCTGTTTATTATTTCTGATGCGCCAACCTGTAGAGTAAAAAGTATGTTATAAAAAAAGAACGAATAAACAAGAAAGTATGTAAACTTCAACCTTATTTGCAATGTAAACTTACTTTGTTGGCGATTTCAACTGTAGTGTCCACAAGTTGGCGGTAGTTACGTCTATCGAGCGCCATACGATGATTCCAGAAATGTTTAAAGAAATGTGGTAGAATCTCGTCCATTATATATTGAGGTTCTACACCATCAGTACCACAACATTGTTTCACTACCTGTAAAAAAGTAAAACATTTACTATTAATTCAGATTATTGGGATACAAATGTAGAGCTACTTGGACTTTATCACATACCTTTAACACAATCTTTTTCATTTCCTCATCTGGGGACTGGAACTCACGAATAAGGATCAACATCACTTCACGCGTGTAATAATTAGCGTATTCGGCGTCCATGAGTGGGATGAGATAACCGATGGCCTTCAAGAAAGCCGCCAGACCCTTCCCGCGATGAGTTCGGATACCCTTCCAGAGAGGTTTGAGCACGGAGTCGAATGATTCAATACCGTATGGCGTAGCTGCCTCAGCGAGAGCGGCGCTCGCTAAAGCTGTGATAGTACGCACTTTCTGTTGTTCATCAACTAACCCTGTAATTCAATAAAATCAAGATTACAGATTCATGCAAGACTAAAAAGTACCGAGGTAACTTTGTATTGACTGATAATAGAATACATACCATGTTCAATAATTTCCACCAAGGACTTGAGATGGGGCAGAATGGCGCAACCCATAAGAATAGCAATTTGCTGAACAATCTTTATACCAGTATGCCTGGCTTGCCAAGATTTCTTTGATCGGCA